ATAGGCTTGCCTACGTATACATAATATGTTTTTTAAGCACCTAATAACAATGTAAGTCAGAAAAGATTATATGCAGAACCAATTATTAATTATAAAATATTTATCAAGACAGAAAGCTTGCTTTTGAGGGACTAAGGGAAAGGTAATTTTAATCTTGACTGTGTAGCTGGCTAAGCCATGAATTTTTTTCTACATTTGTAATAAATTTGCAGAAATAGTTAAATATGTATATTATTGAGTAAGTAAATAATTAATTAGGTACTTATAAACTGCTAACAATGATATGTAAGGAAAGTAGGTAGGTAATTAAAATTTCTTTGCCGAAATGTTTTATTATTCTATTCCATTGTATTGACAACATTTGTTTGTCGATTCGTACGGACAATTGGGTATGACGGTGACGGTTAAATAATAAAACAATAACGTAACGTAACTGGTTCAAATTCCAAAGCGGAGCAAATTGTTTAACCCAATTGGCAAGTAATTGATGAGTAAGATGTTTTGTTGCCCCACAAGACATCTACTCGGTTTAAATATTCAGTCAACAGCCCGTACAAAGTCCTATTTTCTTATTAAAAATACAATTTTTATTTGTTGTTTTTATACGCGGCCCCACATATAGCTTTGATAACACTTCGTATACACTACGGCTGATAAGAATCCAATTTCACGCGTAAGTAGGTATCTACGATCTACTTGTTATTTACTTACGGTACGTAAATATAAATTTTGAATTCAAATTCCTTGAATACATAATAAGCTAGGTACCCGGAATTGACATTTTTTTATAATTTTTATTTTAGTACTAAAAATGAAGTTTTTAGGTGGGTATTGTAAATAATTTGTTAAAGACGTTTTACGATGTGCAAAAGTTCAATACATTAAGTACCTAGGTACTTACCAGTGCAACAAGATTTTTATATCCCGCCGATTCAGCCCACAAACGATCAACAAACCTTGTTTTTGGCACAACAATATCAGGAACAGTTGATCTTATAATAAAATCTTCATTCCTGAACACAGCACTAGTTGAAAGTTTCCTTTGCCATTTTAAGTTTTTAATTTCGCGTAAGAGGAGTTTTCGCGCCATATTTTGCAGGTTCGCGCGCGATCGACGGTAGCGAGTGAACGACTGTCGCGGAACGACGCGCGCGACTGATAGAATGAAACGAAGCGTTTCGGCCACACGAATACTTTGAACTTGATAATTTTGCTAATTTGCACTGAATGCACGGCTGGCAAAAGTAGATAGCTGATAACAATTTATTTAAACAATACAAAGGTAGTTTTAGATCCGCGTGGCGTCTTTTATTATCAATTTACTTAGGTGGTAACTTTTTCAAATAAGTACGTTTTATTTTATTGCAAGTTAGTGTAGTTACTTTCTTATCTAAAGGTAGATTTTTTATCGTTATTTATTCCAAATATCGTTATAAATTTTATTGATGTTATATGAAATGGACTTTGAATGTTATTCTCAATATTGTTGACATCAATGTTTCACTATCAAGCCTTATTTCACCTTAAGTTGCTTATGGGTACAAAGTACGACTTCATCAGTACAAAGGTTAACACAATAAGACAGGAATACTCCAGATAAATATGTAGAAATAGCTAATAAATAGACATTAATAGCATAACATTGAGATATGCTTAAGGTCTTCCTTGTACGATTGCATTCATACCCTTAGACTTTGTACTTGCATACTGTTACGACATCCCTACCTAAGTACCTATATAAGTTTTCTTAGCATCTAGCAATTGCAGTGTATAAACAGATAGGTAATTGAAAACAATTACTAACTTAATTATCCTTATTATCTATTGTAGTGCAGAGTTAATTAGAATTAAGTACCTAGGTATTTTAAATATAAAAACTTTAATGTTGTGTAGGTGTTTTTTATTTTATCATTTTACTACCTGGCGTACTCAGAGACTTTCAACTATTAATTCTTTAGTAACGATTTGTTGTACTTATTCGCAATAACAATTGCTAACGAATCTAATGACCGGTTTCATCTTGTCTCTTTTTAATCTCTTGTCAAGTCATCTGATTGGTTGTTGATAATTCAGTCAAATAATCAGATTACTTGACAAAAGATTAAATTGATTTTAACATTGATCGGCCTTTCGGAAATCGGGTGTAAGTAACCATTAAATGGATGACTCTGTACCTATTTCTATAGAGTGCCTTATTAGATATCAAACATAATAATTATCTCACAAATTAAGAATGAGGGTTTTATGGAATAAGGCGGTAGACGAGACGAGCGGGCACATCCCCTGACAGAAACACCTGAAGACTTCCAAGCGTCGATAGCCTTTTGTGCAACACAAGCAAACTGATGACTTTGCACAATTGATGAACAATCAATATTATTTTATTAAGTGCTTACCTAGGTTTGCCTAGGTGCACCGATAAGTATTATTATTACGTACCTACCTATGTACTTACATGCACACACTTCACCTTGGTGACCAAACCGGTTTCGTTTCTCCCAAGACTCTGCAGACGTTGCCCTTAGAAAATGCAACAATATGTCTGTAGTGTTGTTAAAGAGGGAAGGAATTAGCTCATTTTGTACTGTAGTGTTATTAAAGAGAGAATCAGCTTGATTTTTTAAAGTAGATAGGTACAGAGTTATTTAATTATTTATGCGAAACCACTGAATCTTCTCTAATTTGGGGTGTACCTATATCAGTATTTACGAACTAAGATGTTTTCCAAAACCATCTAGGCTTCCTAAAGTGATACCACATTTAGGATAGGTATTCCTTATCAGATATTCGAGGCTTGCTCGATCCACACGATAGGACCCATTAAGACCGATGTTCTCAGAGATAGAACCTACTAAGGGCGAAGTCAAGTCGGCGTAGCAAGGGCTCGGAGCAGGAAAAGGAACGTGGTGGTTTTTATTCAGAAAATGACACTCCCTCTCTCCCAACCCAGGCCAGGAGCAGTCATTTTGATAAATCTCCGCTTAAAATATTATGATATAAAATTTAATGCATTTACCCATGACACACCCACCAATGAATGTGCCAGATCTGACTATGATGTAGCAGAGCCGATACTAAAACAAGCGCAGAATCAAAATAGTTCGCGAAAGCGCAAGGTTCAATGAACTACCGTACGGGCTGCGATATGGAATGTTTACAAGGCCGCGAATTGTTAAAAGTAGACATTTGCGATACCACCATTCCAAGTAAGTACCTAAGTATCAAGCAGTACCTATTATTTCTGATGTTTTTAATCTATGGTATCTACCATGTAAGTACACACAATGTCCTTATTTAAGTGACTAAGTATTACCTATTTATTTATACTGTGGTATTACCTAACCACCAGGCAAGGATGTAGATACATATTAACTGAATATGATGTTATATATTGTAAGTTAAATATATATTTAACTTACAATATATGCATGCCTGTGAAACATATTAATATGATAGGTTGTTTTAGTTCTAACTTCTTTACTCTAAATCCTTGGTAAAAACTCCGAAAGTGTTAAGCCCTCGAAATTATTGAACCAACTGATAAACATTGTAAGTATAAGTGACTTTTGTAAAATTTTAAATACCTAACCGCTTTTTTATTCGATTTGTTTTGAAATGGAAATAAAATAACAATCCTTTCCCTCCTTCAATTTCTATATCCCCAAAAGTTCAGCAACGCACTCGTGACTCCTCCGTTGTTGTGCATGGGCGGCACGCTGATTGCTTATCATCAGGTAATCACTAATCCGTCTACTAGTTTCCAATCCTATATTCCTATCCCATAATAAAAATAACATCAGTGCGTTGACGTGATAACGGAAAATATTAATGAGACTATTCTTCTAACATTCCTCTTCAATTCGTACAATCCCTCAATATTTTATTAGCCGTTGCTAATAATAGAAACTTTGTTCAAAATTAATTTGTGACCAAACATTTGCATGCCTGATAAGTTGAACCAAGAGAACTGTATAACGTTAAATATTTAACACTTTTGGGCATTCCCTTATGTACTACAATTTTCTTGCTAAGAAAACAAATTTATTAATTTGATCACATATCACGAAGCAATGGATTTGGATTGCCAGGAGTTTGAAGAAAGCCACACGTAGTTGTGTAGGTTCTTTGATTGCCTTTACACTTTTTATATTATTTACTCAGATCAAAACATAGGTACTCACAATTTTGCGTTCATAAATAACACATACTCTTACATTCGCTCCGACATAACAGTAAGTTAATCTGGTGACGCACTTCCTTAGAAATCCTAGCTATTAGGTACATCATTACGATTTTTAGGGTGGGCAAAGGATCCTTAGGATATTTATTTTGTTTACACCTATAGGAGCGTAGGCCCTTCTGACATAATAGACAAGCATTTACCAGCAAATACATTCTTTCCGTCATTACGACCGAATAAACAGACAGTTTGGCCAAGTTTGGTAGACGCACTTCGTTCACCCTACTTCAATTTGTCAAAATATGCCATTAATACGTATTTTGTGCTTTATTCCAGGTCTATAGGGTTGGAAATGTACTGTGTAAATAGAGGCGTAGGTTGATCTGCTGTTGTCTACGTGGGCTTCATGGTGACGTAGTATTTAGTAGGTAACAAGGTCGAGCGATTGACGGTCTTTGGGTGTGTCTAGCCAGCCACAGATACAAAACTAATTTTAGATTCAAGGTTTTTTTATACAACCAAAAGTAACAGAGCGCGTTTTGTTTGTTTACATTTTTCTTCGGTGATAGTTTTGATGCTGGTTCGTACCTTTTTTCTACCGAGGCTTTGTCTATGAGGTATAAAACCTTATTTTTAGTATTTTTTAAGTCTAATCTATCTATCCCGATGCTGACTCACAACGCTTTATACTTGCAACTTATACTACACACGGTTCAAAATAAAATTACAAAATAAAAATCATATCATTTATTTTATTTAACATAATATACTTAATTATTTCCTTATGTATAAAAATCTTATGATATAAAACATACAAAACATCTTTTCAACAACAATAACTTTTAAGGCACATTGTTTGATTTTGGCAATTGACAATCTTTTCGAATATTCTTTTTTGTTTTAAGGAAATACTGACTTTATTGTCTACGAAGTGGAAGGCATTAAAATGTAATAGGTATTATCTTTTCCAACTAAAATTACGTAAAATATTGCGCATCCCGTAACTGATTTCCAGGGAAATAAAATGTATTGAATACAATACATGTATATTCGTAAAATAAACTCGATCAAAAATAACAAATTTTAATAGATAGACTAGTTGTATTGCAAATAATAAACCCATTCAATTACTAAAGTATAAGAATCTTATTGATTGACTGATTTTGATTCACAAGTATTTTATCTTATGCTAAAACAATAATAAACTTTACTTAAAATTCATAAAATCATAATACAGCGATAATACTTAAAAATATTTTAAATTGACTAATTACAATGGAAACCATCTAAACATTAATAATAAAATTATTAAACGCACAAAATGATCAAAAATGCAATTCGCATTAGAAAAACCTTAACACTAAGATTGTAAAAAATACGAATGTAATTGTAACGATATGTATAATATGCCAAAGGTCAAAGAAAATCTTTGATGTAGGTACATAACGAATACTCATTTCTTCAAGTTCCCCTCGACAAAAACCACAAATCGTCGCATTCAGAGAAGTTAATTGTTACCCAATCTTTAACAATTACTTTTGTAACAAAATTTTTAACAAGGAATAGAGTTTACGTGATTATTAACATAGTAAGATTGAGAATTAAGTTTATTTATGATTTATAATGTATTTTGATAAATCAATATGCATTTTAGACGCAGACTTGGTCTGTATCACAGTTTTTCATGTATTTCTGTGGGCCGATCCCGGCGGCACTGCAATGCCGGGCCGACCCGTGACAGGAGTGGAGCGAGCCCCGAACATCCCATCAACTTCCAAAAATCAGTTTAATATACTGGTCCCTCAGTGAGGGAACTTTCAGATATTAAGCTGAAAAGAACAGTTACTACACTTTGATCTTAGCCAAAAGGCCGAGAAGCGATACTAGTGAATTGAAAACCGAGGAGGGTCATTCATTCGCGGAGAATCTTAACACCGCGATTCAGAAAATGACGTCACGGCACAGAGGCATCTATCGGTACGCCGCGGAACTACTAAGGCAGTGCTGTCACAACCAAAGTTAGACACACAAGCCAAATGTACACTTTCAAGTTTAAAATTCTGCATGAATACTTAAATGCAACAACAATAACATTGATACGCATGGGTACCATACTTACATTTTGACTTCACAACCATTCTTAATTACATAATATGATATCTACCGTTCTACACCTTAAAATGCTAACAATACATTTCCTTCAGCTGTTTCCTAAGAATCTTACCTGCGGGATTCTTAGGGATTTCATTAACAAACTGTACTTGTTTTATCTTCTTGAAGATTGTGACTTTAGTGTTAACATGCTCTAATATTTCTTCTTCTTTCAGAGTTTGTCCTGGTTGAGGTACAACGAAGGCTTTGGGGACTTCGCCTGAGATTGGGTCTGGTATACCCAGGACGGCACAGTCGAGAATTTTCGGATGTGTTCGTAACACCATTTCTAGTTCTGCTGGTGGTACTTGGAATCCTTTTACCTGTAATAATATTATTATGTTTTGTATTGTGAAAACTTTGTTATTTAGACTGTATCAAAATTAAAAGAGTTTTTATTTACACATTTTTACAACGCATGCCATATTAATTAGTTAAAGAACTATTCAGCAATAGGCACTGGAACCGAGCTAACGACTTTATGATGGCTATATTTTTGATAATTAATAAATGCTAATAAAATTACGACGTATACGATTTTTAAGTCAGGTGCAGGAAAAGATATTAGTACGGCACTATCGGCTAATAGTAGGTCTTTACCTATGAAATTGCCGTTCTGCAGTACTGGCCATTTTAAATCAAAATAGTTTTTGTTAGGATAAGGCTAATTAATTTTGTTTTAAAAACATAGGATTCTTTTTCCAAAAGTAGTCATTTGTTTACTGATTAGTGTTACATTTTCATCGCATTTCAAATAAAAAAAATCGTTTAAATTTTTTCATGCAAAACGGCAATTTCATAGGTAAAGACCTATTATATCTTTTCACATGTTGATAGTTTTGTTTATGACAGTACATTACCACATCGTTGATTTATATTTTTTTTTATTATCATTTATATTTAGATGATAATATTTACCTTAATAAGTTCCTTTAGCCTGTCAGTGACGTATAAATATTTGTTCTCGTCATATCGCCCAATGTCTCCGGTTTTGTACCAGCCATCTTCGGTCAAAACCTCCTTTGTTGCTTCCTCATTTTCATAGTAACTCGTCATTAGGTTTGGACCTCGGTACCAGATTTCGCCTTCCTGAAAATTATAGATTAAAAAGTTTCAGTATTTTATTTACCTACTTGTTTGTATTTTTCTAATAATACACTTTGATTAATGTATATTTCGTAAGTAAATACGGCAAAATATTATTTAGATTTGTTAAGAAATATACTACTTCAGACATTCATATTTATTCATAATAATAATTCCTCGATCTCCTTCAACTCGGTAAATTTTACAAAACTTTATTCCTAACATTTTTAACAATTATTAAGTAGGCTCCCTAGCGCCATCTGTTATCAACTTTGTGTAAGAATCGGGTACTTGACGATATTAACTCAAGTAGGTACTAACTTAATCAAACGTTTGTTAATAGAAGTGTTTAAAATACTTGCCTCTCCTGGTCCCAGAGCTTCCCGTGTGTTGAGGTCAACAATTTTCACCTCGCTATTACCCAGTATGTGGCCAACTGAAGCGTGGTTCGAGTCATCGTTCTTGCCCACTGAAATAGCTCCATTGGTCTCCGTCAAACCGTAGCCCTGACGGAACACGATGTTTTTCTGAAATAACAAATATTTTGATTTGTCATTTTCAGTTTTTAATAGGCTAGCTTCCGAGGCGGAGTTAGAATTAATTACTCAATTTTATTTTATTCTGTTAGGAACTCCAACAAAAGCAATATTAAACAAAGATTTTTAAAAATGTTTTGTGGCCTTATAGACAACACTTAATGTACAACCTATTAGGATTGGGTATAAAATATCTCAAATTTTATATGTAAGTAGAAGCACACTAAAGTATTTACATAATAAATCATATTAAAATTAAAAGTAAAGTACATTAAGATATAATAAATCAAATTAAAATTAAATTAAACGTTTAAAATTGAAACAGATGATTTGCCCTCCACAGATTTTTTTGACGAACAACGGATTTACGTAACAACATAGGTGCATTTACAGACATAAAATCTGACAAGTATGGGAGAGCCAAGCTTCGGCATGAATGGTTCGGCTAGATCAGAATGATACCATGGCCGCACAGAAAATCGACGTGAAACAACCACAGCGTTGTGTCTCGCCGTGTGAGTGAGGTTATCGGCGGCCTAATTTTTTTCCCCTCCCACTTTTTCCTCATTTCCTAAATCCCCGAAACACTAATCTTAAAATGCCGGCAACAGCCTTAAGTATACCTAATTCCTCTGGTGTTGCGGCGCCGAAGGCTTTAGCACCCGGTAATCCGTCTGTTCGCTAGCGGTGCTATAAAAAAAAAAAACACTCCTTTGTGATTTTTTTTTATTTACAACTTGTCTCTTCATTGTTCTCACACAGGGACAAAATAATGTAGGTATACAAAATGTATTATGAGTAAATTGTAAAAAAAAAATTTTTAAAAAGAGTAATGAATTAACGATGGTGTTTCTTGCTCGTTCTTCTCCATTCGAAACTACAATTTGGAACGAGCACCTAGCTTCAGTAACGAACAGACTGACAGATTACTATTCTATTTTGACGTTTCAAAAGTACCTATTTATGGTATAGTTGGAATGAAACATTGATTTGATTTGATTTGTTATGGATAATACAAAGTTCTATTCTAATGCGGGACCGAATGCTCATCTTAAATTGAATTTTGTTGTTAAATAAAATAAACGTATCTAATAATAAAAGTACCTATAAAGAGAAGACACAATCATATCTATATTCTGAATTTATCAATTCGATTATTGATATCTCTAGACTAAACACATTGTATTATCAGATCCTATTACTGATGAACCTGATGTACCCTTGAATAGAGATATTTAACAATATACTTATTTATCAAGACTTAGATAACAGTGGACAATGAACTCTAGTACAAAGAGCGCAAGTTATTTAAGATTTGTATAATAAGTATGTAGGTAATGTTTAGCCACATATTTGATTTTTTTTCTGCGAAAAGTATTAAATTATTAATAACCCTTAACCTTCAGTCACAGATGGCAGGAGAGTGTCAGATTCTTACTGAATAAAAACAATCGTCCGCTTGTTTGTTTGTTTGAACGCGCTAATCTCCGGGAACTACCAGGGTTTAAATTGAAAAAAAAAACATTGTGTTGTATAGTCCATTTGTTGAGGAAGGCTATAGCACAGTATAAATATCATATATTACCTTGGCTATAGAGTCTGTACTATAGCTATAGACTATAAAATATCATAATCACGCTACGATTTCTAGGAGCAATAGAGGAAAAACCCGGGTTTTTTACTCTATGGTAGGAGCCAAGAAGCGTAGAGTAGGTAAAGTAAGTATAATGGAAAGAAGCGGGTGAAACCGCGCGAGAGTAGCTAATGTATACTTATGATTTTTTAGGGGCAAAAAATATTAAATTAACCTTCAGCCCCGGGTCGGGTGAGACATGAGGGAGTATCAGATTCTTAGGTACTAAATAAAAACGTGTTTTGAGTTCCAACTTCTGCTTCGGCCCGCTCGTTCTTTTCTATAAGAATCTACATTTTGAAACGAGCACCTAGTTTCTCTGATGGAGAGTTACCTAAACCTGCCTATTGCTCGCTTATATTTACAGAAGGTAGGTACTACGCATTCAGAACTAAGCTTCATAAATCGTAGATAAGCAACAGTAAAAAAATGCCTACCTACCTACTATTTACAGAAGGTAGGTACTAGAGACATTTTCATTTCATTTAAACTAAGCTTCATAATTCGTAGATAAGCGACATGAAAAAAATAATATCTACCTACCTACCTACTATTGTTTGGTATACAATCAATTGAAATCATAAATTGTGGCGGGAAGTGTTTTTATCACAAAACGGCCTAATCTTACGCTATTGTCGTATACGCACTGCTAGCAAAAAGTTGACAATAGGTATCTATTCGAATATATAAGTAGTTTAAATAGGTACTGGTTATGTGTATAATTAATTATGTAGTTAAACGTAAAGTATTAATGTGGGTAAAATTTTGCCTATTATCTTTACTTAATGTTATAAAGCTGTATGTAGAGTTTGTTTACGCGCTCATCTCCGAAAGTTCTGGAAGTAATATTATAATGCAAATAAATATAAAAACATGTGGCACAAGATAATATTAACATAAAAATTAGATTATTAATAATTATAGTTCGTCTACAGAGTACCTACCAGTTCTTACTGGTTTGAATGGAACAATTCTTTTTGTGCCTTTAGTATATTTATCGAGGAAGGCATCATGCTAAGGTCTGTAGGAGCCGAGCAGCGAGTGAATCAGTGCGAAAGCAGCTATTTGCCGAATAAGAGCCTTTATGTATTTGTGACTGGGTTGACTGTCATATACTTCCGAAATTATTAGGTATACGATAGAAGCACCTTAGTGTCATGGCAATAATAATATACCAAACATCCGACCCGGGAAGGAGAACGAATGGGGTTTTTATTCAGTAAAAGTCTGACAGTCCTTCTCGCAGGAAGAAGCAATTTGATGATTTTCATCCCTCAAAAAAGTTCTTAAATCCTGCTATCCTCCTCTTCACGCCCTAGCCGCCCAGCCGGCGCAGTAGGCGACACGCCAGGCGTCGGAGATCGAGAGACATCTCCGGCCACCGTAATCTCGGGTCTGCAGACGGTGACTAAGGGTAGCTCGCCACCCGACCAGAACCAGACCCGAGCGTATGGCGCGTAGGGCTGATGGTCCGCCGGGTTTACGGGACAAGCGCAATGAGGCACCGCAGCCTTGGCTAGTAAGTAAGAGTCTGTCACTCTGTCACCTTACTCTGGGCAGAAGAAGCCATTTGATGATTTTTCCCTGACAAAGAAAGACCCCTAGTCCTAAGCTAGCTTTTGCGGCGGGTGCCAGCGCATAATATACCCCGGACACAACCCGGAGCTGGATAATAAACGGGGTGGTAAATAAATTGATGACTTTCTACGCTCCAAAAAATGTAGCTCTGTAATAACATAATTGAATATTAGGGAGAATTAATCGAAGGTTTCCAAAAAATCTAAAGGAATTTAGTGCTATGGCAAATAGAAACAATAGAAGCAAAAGAAACAGGTCATTTATCTATACAGAACATAGTCGTAGGCAAACCTTGTTTTACATAACAACGACAAGCTATTTCTGTATACGTATTACGTACTTCAAAGGCTTTTGTTATCAGACGTAGTTGTGTGTGTCTGTGTTGTAATATAAATAATTTATTTGCAATTGCATTCAATTATGTGACTCAATAATGATTGCAATGGGCTCGTCTGTTTATGAACCTGATTAGGTATTACCTACAAACCTATGTTAAAGATCAGGTTTCCAATAGGTACATACCTATACAGTCAGCTGTTTATTAGGAATCGGATTTCTGTTAAGTTTAACTACAACCTGTTTCTCTAATTGAAAGGTATATCGTGTAAGTATTAATAGAATATAATATTATTAAAACTAATTTTCAAACCGTCTTCGTCATCTTTTGACTAGCAGTAGGAAGATACAAGAAAGGAATTGTATAGGTATATTCTGGCTAAATTCGTTATTTTATTTTTTAACACTCGGTCTATTCACTTCGGTAATGGAATTAATGGCAATAAATATTGAGCAAATCATATTCCCAAAAGAGTGTTTTTGTTATTGGTGTAGGATTCGAAGAGAGAGGTCGGTTAGTTCTAGCCATGCAGCTTATAACCATTAGTAGTATACGCGGCGACTCCCAAATTTCCAAAGATCGATGTGCAATATTTATCAATGGGTAATAGATTTTTTTTGAGACCGACTCTCTCTTAATCTCGCGTTTTAATGGCCGCGGCGCATTATTGCGTTTCAAATCGCCGCAAGCCCGGCTGAGAGCACTATAGTAAACTTACATTTTTCTGGATAACAGCTTCGGCATCCCCTTTGGAGATGGGTGCAGCACCGCTAACAATACCGTACACTGACTCCAAGTGTTTCGGAGTCACAGCTGGATGCTTTCCCAGGAAAATCACTGTAAAGTTTAGTAGATATTCGAAATTAGACGAAGTACAAGAAATAAATATAATATAAAAGGAAATACGAGACTAATGTTTATTCACGTAAAAATAGTTCTAATAGTATCAGATTCAAACTAGTTTCTTAGATGAGTGAACGCGGCTGCCGAAAAATGGAACTCGTGTTCGATCATCGTCATCGTTATCAACCTAAAAGCGCCCACTGCTGAGCAAAGGCCTTCTCCCAGAGAGAGAGAGAGAGGTTGATCATTATAATACGTACTTATTATTAAAAATTAAATTATAAGAAAGAGAATTATAAATGAGGAGTCCTGGACTTATAATTGAAATGGTATGAGTCCAGGTTTCCTCATGATGTTTCCGTTCACCGTGGGAATGTCGATTATTGAAAATATTTTTTAAAAAGGCAGTAGCTTGAAACCGGTTTATTATGGTGAATTTAATGGTAGTGTAGTTTTTTATAATAAATCATAAAGACCTCACCCATAGGTGGTACCAAGAACAAAACTTCAGCCCTATGTTGAACGAGAGTCTGAAGAAATAGTTCAGGTTTGAAGTACGGCATTGTGACTAATTTGCACCCCAGCGCCATCTGGTTCATCATCAGAACATTGAACCCGAATATGTGGAAGAATGGAAGGATGGCTGGTAAAACTGCTTGATTGGTGTCTAAAACAAAACGAATTTTAATTTTAGTGTGTTATGTGTTTGATTTCGCTAAATAACTTATCATGCATTTTCCTTAAAACGGGAAAATAAGGAAATAGGATACATGATAGCAATTGTAAGTAAATCGCTAACTATCAAAAATAATTATCTTTAATTTTAAATATGGATATAATAATTGTTAGAATACTTATTAGGACCTTACATCTCCATACTAGGTAATCACTAATAGTCTTACTTAACAAAAAAATATAAAACTTACCAGTGGTTTCCTGTATAGCAATAATCTCTGGATCAGCAATCTGTTGGTTCATGGCAACAACACTTTCATGGGTCAACACTACGCCTTTAGGGAACCCAGTAGTGCCACTCGAAAAAGGTAATATAGCCAAATCTTTAGGACCTCTTTTCACAGCTTTCAAACAATTCGTGTCCAAACTAAAGTCTTGCGCAAATTCTGCGAACTTTATGGTGCCTTCAGGTAAATCGTCATTGTCTATTAAAATTACTGGTATGTTCATCTTCAGTTCTGTTAACGCCTGTTTGATGTTTGCGTAAGAAATCTTCGATGTAATCACTGCTTTGCATTTTACCAATTCGATTTGCCTTTTTAATTCCTCTGTAAGGGAAGATGGTTTGAAGTGAATTTGTTTTGATTATTGTACTATACAAGCTTTTTTATTGTAGGCATAATGTTAGGTATCATTTTATATGTTCTAAAAGCAGTACAGGTGTAATATAAAATCAATGCTATCCAATTTTCATTGACCCCAAATGGAAAAAGACAGAAGTGTTATGCAATTGCACTTATGTATTTACCAACCAAAAATTCCCTATCATTTCATATCATCGTTTTAACAGTAGCAAAGCCTAGCTAATGTATGCTTAGAATGGGCCCAGTCGAAAACAATTTCCTAAAACGGTAACAGATTTGTGAAGCGTCTGATATTGCAGTTGAAGATATTTATGCTCCGCTGTCCTTTAATCACCATTCAGGTCGTAAGTTTAGTATAAAAGACTCCATAAGTTCTGATAGGTACATTAGGTACTATCCACCAAGTCTTCTTTAATCCATCGCTTCCATCCTCTTTTATTACTTACCAGCAGTATAAACAGGATTCATCATACTAGCTATGCAGCCAGCTTGCAATACACCCAGTACAGTGACGGGATACTCCGGTGTGTTTGGCAAAACTATCGCGATTTTGTCATCGTTCTGCAGTTTTAATTTTGTCCGCAAGGAGGCAGCAAAAGCTATGGACATCTTGTGCGTTTGCGCATATGTGTAACCGCGACCTGTCACTGCGCAAACCTATAACATAAGAAGTAAACTGAATATTTGTATTTACGAGAATAATTAAGATTGACTTCCACCAATCCCCTACTCCCTAAATCTCTAATCCTCTAATCCCAAAAAGGCCGGCAACGCAATCGTAACTCGTATGGTGTTACAGGTATCCATACGCGGCACGATTGCTTACCTCATCGGCAAAAAAGCCTAGGTTTTGTTTTTCATACTTATGCGTTACTATAGACAATAGGTAGTTGTTTTAATTTTTTTTTGTATGGGTACATTTATACACACTAGGTATAATAAGTAATGTTTATTGTTTCTACACACATTCTATGTGATGCAAAGACCAAGGCCCGTGGCGAGTAGTAGGTAGGTATAATGTCCATTTTTAGATTTACTACTTAATTGAATTTTGATAACTTGTCGTGCTGATTAAACCTATTAGCTTAGTTTACAAATTATTATGATAAAATGACATCGAATTGGGTAGTTTCCTATGTCAACAATAAATTAACTCGACGTTTCAATAGAATTAAATATTGAAAAATAACTATAGGTACTTTTATTCATCGATCGATCGATACACAAAATTTTAGATATTTTTAGCTGATTTTTAAGAAATAAGTAAGCTATTTGACGCAAAATTCTATGACGTCATACAAATACAAAAGTGTTTCATAGTATCGTGTTTGACATTTGGATTAAAGTATTGAATTTGACTACCTAGTTGGAAACTACCGTACGCGTATTGTGACTTTATTTCCAAAGAGATCGACTGATGACGGAGGTAAATATTATCGATACCTACATGATGTAGGCATCTACAAATGTTTTGTCTCAGGGCAAAGTATTTTCTGTTTTTTTTATGAACAAAACAAACATGTTATTGTTAATTCTGTCGCCAGTAACACCCACATTATCTTATTGTTTGCTTATCTATGAGAATTTAAAGTGGATAATATTAAGTATGATGGCAGTAAAGATTACTTCGTCCCGGTTGTTCTTTAGTCAAATTAACTTAGCTTCCTTTACTTAATTATTTAATGGGTTTTAATAAGTAATTATTATTATTCTATATTTATTACATGTTCATTTAATAATTAAAAATTTATTTTAAATCATTTAAATCGATTTTAATAATTCACAAAAAGTTTTAATTATATTTTAATATCAGTAAGAGTTTGACATTAAATCTAAATGGGAAAAAAGACGAATGAAAATAAACCTGACTATGGACACCTAAAAGAGCTAATAATTATTTTAACCAGTAGTTAGGTATATCTATGATGTTTGTTTATTTAGTTGAATAGCAGTTACTTCTTATTGATATTGGATTTGATAAAATTTGCCTATGATAGCCTCATTCTTGCTCAAAGGAGGTTAAAATGTTATCTAGCTTCACACAATAAATAATTAGTTAGGAGCACATGCATGCGTTTGCAACAATTAACTCTAAATCTGTGATATATATTTTAAGGTAATAAAAAAAGGGTTACTTACTAAAATAATAAAAATAAATACTTTAGTACTTTATTGCTATGACCCAAGATAGTATAAGTAAGCAATGCTGGACAGAAGGTAATTATTCTGTTAATCATTCATAAAAAAAAAACTATTACAATGTTTGTATGTAGTTGCATAAAAATATTGCGCTACATGTTGTGGGACTCGTGGGTTTCGATTCCCGGAAGAAACGACAACCACATTTTGACCCACATTAACAATCCACATTATTGTTAATCTGGGTCTGGGTACTGTATGATTTGTATTGTAAACACACAAACAACACAGGTGTGGTACAATTTAAAAAAAAATCAATAACAGTTTCTGAAATGAAGTTTTAAACACATTCATTAATATAAATAAATTGACTAAGGTATAGGGAATAAAATAAAAAGGGAATATAAGGAAAAAAAATACAATACATTATGGTAGGTATACCTAAGTAGTTATGATTTAGTTAGTAATTAAATAATCAAAACATTATCTTATAATAATATCATATCAATCTAATTTACTTCTTATAATTACTATACCCATTAACCCACCATTAACTGACAATTCAAATTATTCAAATAATTTATTTAGTAGAAGTTTGTAATATTCCTTTTTTAGAACTGTACGCATGACACTTCTATTTTTTATAATACTAATAGGTAATAGTGATTTTAGCATTATTTAGGATTCTAGAAAGGCAACTTACCTACCTAAATACTATGCCAAGTTTTGAATTTTAAAATAACAGTTTTAAATAAATAAAATAGTAGGCTATAAAAAGTGTAAAAAAAAAAAGAAAGCAACTCACAGTAGCAGTTTTGTCAGGCCATCGGTCCAAGTTCTGCCAAACAAAGTCATTGGCTGTGTAACTGGTCATCGGAATATCTTTGAATGCTGATGTTAGAACTTTTTTTTCTGGAGTATTGGAACTCTTTTGTCTCACTACAATAGACACAATGCCATTCTTCTTCTTGTTTAGAACTTTTAGAACTTTGCCCCTTACAGCACTGGCCATGTTTGGACTTTAGATTCAGCTGCAAAAGATAAAAAAAATTTAGCACATTTTAAGCAAACACAATTATTATGAACACATTCATACTTAAATAGCAAAAAATTCTAATCGTGTTTAGAATGGAAACGTTTAAAAATTTCAAAAATTTTAAAAATTTCCTGACGGCATTCAAATACATAGAACAAAATAATACACAAGCCCACTGTTTAATATTTCAAAATTACGCACAAACTTTTAATTTTCATATTAAGAAACAAATGAATGCATTTAATATTCGAGGTACGTGTGCATAGAAATTTAATTTATTCACAAAAACATAATATTATTCTTAGCGAGAAACCTGATTTTCTTGAAATCAAATCACCATCAACTTTTTATTGAAGTAAGTTGTAAAGTAACATCTCATAAAATATGCACTTGTTTATTCGATTAATAAATGCATATTTGTATAAATAAAATATTTAAAAACAAACTAAAATTGTTTACGTTGCGTACAATATGATCAAATAAAATTTACGGAATTTAGAGTACGTACCGTCGCTCACAACTATCTCACTCGAAATTTCGTAGCCAACTGAGACTGAGTAAGTTATATTATTAATTACTTGTAGTACTATTCACTTCCAACACATACACACATTTATTATTAAATTTGATAATAGCAAACTCAGTTTCCTTCTGAATCTCCGTGCCCTTGGACTTTGAAACTACGAGATACTAACAACTAAAACCGGGCTTTCACTTTGTTTTCAAAGATAATCAGAATGAATAAAAAACACGTAAACACATAGAAAAACATGCGCTAGTGTATGCGTTATACATACGTGTAAGAAAGAGAGGTCAGACTATTTGATACACATTCCGCTGTTGTACTCAAATTGGTAGCAGTATACGTTAACAGCTGGTTGTCGTTTCAATCTACGCAATTTCTTGATTATTAAGTTGAAATGAACAACGTATTGTGATCACAAAACTTGGACACAAAAAAAAAAACACCTGTAGAAAACCAAATATTTTATTCATTTCACCACTTAATCACATTGGTAAAAATAATTTTATAGGTACCTATTGTACCCACTTCAAGGTATATTTTGCAAAATCAATGTGATGCATTTTCCTGATCCTTCTTTGAGAATCAAATGATTGCCTCAGGAGCGGATGGAGCGTGGGTGCTTGCAAATTTTATTTGGAGCAGTCAATTACTAACTTGTAGTTAGTTAGATTTATTGTCCATTTAACTGCATTATTTGTGTCGGTGTGTGGTTTAATGTAGTCGTCTTTTATTATCCGAATGCTCCATTGCGAGTAAGGACTTATGTTATGTGCCAATATGCTTGTTTATATAGCTCAGGACTTTTCGAGGATATGCTACAAAACATCACTCCTTTTATTTCTTGGAGTTTAGGAAAAGAAACACATACTAAATCTATATTCCGCTTTTTTAGAGGGGAGCGAGGGGGGAAGCAGCCAGTAATTTGTAGGTACTTGTGAACGTGCAAAATGGAAGTCCCTCCAGGACGTAACTTTTAAATTGGATTAATATTAGTACAAGCAATTGGTTTGCACCATTAGACATCAAGTTTTTAATATTTTATAGTCTTGGTTCCTTATTTAGTATGTCCATATGTATAAAAAATAAACACAAACATAATTCTATATTATTTAATATCAGAGAAATACAGTGGTATAAACTTATTCAGACCTTACTTTAGACGGCTAAGGGCAGTCAGCAGTCAAAGTATTTAAAACGCGTAAAATTATACAAATTATTAATAAAATGTACCTACCTAAGAAAGTACATACACATACCTATATAATATTTATACAATTCAAAAGGTTAAACATAGAGTGAAAAAGGTAAATACTACAGCAAATCATTCCTTAAAATAATCAAACAGTTAATTCAATTATTTTAATTAAATATTTTACATAGCATTGTGATACAAATTGTTCGGCACAAATGAAACTGCGGAAGCACGTCTGTAAACACAATATAAACTAAACGAAAAACCTTTTTCGGAAGGGCATTAAAGTAATAAATGCTGTTTAAATATTATGTTAAGAAAACTTTATCTTGAACATATTCTGGTATCGCTATTAATACTTCAGCCCCGCTTAGGGATTGGACTCTGATTGCGTATTCATGTCACCAAATTGAGTACATTTGATACCTACAAAACCAGCTCAATGAGAGAGTTTGGCATCATAAATACACAGTGAGTCCAGTCTCTAACAAAAACGAAAGTAAATAACTCAAAAACTTCTGTAAAATACTTCTAAAGATTTTACGATACTATTCTGCACAATCAAAGATTTACTGCATTGGCAATTGCTAGTCAAAAGAGCTAAACATTGAAGGCGCAAATCTTAAACAAATGTAGGTAACATTTAAAGGACATTTCTTTAGTAAATTGAACACAATTTGTACCAATAATGGACTAGTAGTAACTCAATATTTGGCAACTAAAAATAATTTTATTTTTATATTCAACCAGTTTTTAGTAGAAATCCTACAATGAACATAACGTGGTAACGAAATTTACATATTCGTGCAAATTAGTTAAATCGGTTTACAAATATATAGGTACTGATTATACATAAGTATGTGTGGGATTTAAGCTAATTCGAATAACAATCTTCTATTTCTATTTTCTAATAGATATTTTGAACTTAGTACAAACTCCAAATTTGAAGCTAACTTTTTAACCAAAAATCGTCTTGATGTAAGCGATAGCAATTTATTGCAGACGCAATGTGACGAGTGCAGTACCATTGAATGACAATAGCTCATATTCGATATGGTTGTTATCAATTAGTTCCAAATCAATTACACATTTATTCTTTAAACAATATAATAGGATTATTAAGATAAATAACTATATAATAATAAGTTACTTTTAATAGATGAGGCTAATGAACTAAATGTTAAAAGAGTTTTTAAGTAAACAAAAATAAGGACTCTCTGAACTAATTAAATAGTGACAGTTACATTTAAATGGATATTTTTTATGAGATATATTATAATGAATATATTATACAAGCAATTATCACGTAGAAGCTGATTTCAGTTTAATAGACATATTTTAATAACCTTCTACATGTTTGTTTGCTAACCAAAATTGACAACAATATTAAGGCTACCGAGCATAGCCAATTTACAGAATTTTTTAATGATCAACATTCATCCAGTCTTTATTTTTATACAAACTTATTCTCATCCTTCTGATTTCAAACTATGGATGCCATATTCAACTTTGTTGAGGTTCAATTTGCTTCAATTGTATTAGATACATGAACAGTTTTCCTAAATATTTTATAGAACATGGCGGCAAACGAGGGTATTGGCCACCGGATGGTAAGTAATTAATAAAAGTTTGTAATAAAGGGTTGCCAGCCTTTGGAAGAGGGTCGGGGATTGGCTTTAGGAAATCTTAAAGACTGCAATGCAAGCATTGTATAATGTGGGGCCGTGGTATCATTAAGTTCTACTCGACCCATTTGTGATGAAGTATGGCTTCGCAACAATTAGCTACTATACATCCTAATGCCATTTTTCCAAGTATCAAACAAAGTAATATACAACTCACAACCATGTCATAAATCCTTGACCGATCATTCTTCACAGCTTCGGTAGAAATAGGCATTTCGCCAACTATGTCACATGAACAAATCAAATGGGCCAGAGTATTTGTAACATCTCCGTACATTGCTCTATTTTAAGTTCGTTACCTTTTTGTTCTGAATATTCTATGACAAATGGCTACGTGACTTAAAAACAGTTGAAAAAAGAACTTTATTGTTTAGATTTAAAGGGTGGATACCATGTGGATACGAATAGGACCGGAGAATCGATGCTGATTAAAGCAAATCAAATTATTGGCGTATTGTTTGCAAGCTGTTAATGCTGATTTATTTATTTCCAGAGAAGACCTACACGGCTTTTATGTAGTATGTGCGTCATATAGAAACGAGATCGTAATTGACGAACAGATATCTTAAATACAGAATTTTAGGTGTGTTTTTCAAGTTAACTAGGCATCAAGAGTTTGGAATCAGTTTTAGCACACAGCCTTCACAACAAATACCTTCAATGTACAATTTGTTTTAACATTTCCAAGTGTATAGCAACATTTTATTTATAGACAGTGAATTGAAACCACTTGCACTTGGTTTCTTAACTAATGCCTTTATAGTAGTGTGTAGGAGACAACATGTGAATAAGGCGGGTGTAGTAGTTAACAAAACTTAACATTTCATGTCATCCATTTTGGATTGTCTCGACTCTCATCTGGCTCCACTGAAAAAAGAAAAATAAATAAGATTAGATTTTATCCTCAACTATACCCGCCATAAGCAGTCATTTAACGGTCTTTTGCTATTCTTTATAAATTAAATCGTTTCTAAGTAAAACTTAAGTTATCATCACTACATAGTATAAAAAAAGTTGCTTTATCTGTCCCTATATCCCATTGTTCATAGAATCTTTAAAACTACGCAACGGATTTCGATGTTGTGTTTTAATAGATAGGAGTTATTGACGAAGGAGGTTTATATTTATATTTCTATAGCACCAGTGCGAAGCCGAGGTAGTTAGTAGTTTGTTAATAAATAAAATCGTTACTAAGTAATACTTAAGTTATCATTAAATATGTCTGTGTCTGCATTAAGTATTGCAGTTAGTCTCGACCTCTTTTCTCTTTTTCTGTATTATTCATACAAAACTGTGTTACTTTTGGATTTGCTAGTTGTAGGTTCTCATTTAAAGAGCTATATTAATTTTGATCAATTAAATCCCTATGACCAATTTCATAAAAAAAATACACCTCACAAAACAAAGTTGACCCATTTGGCTTACTAAAAGAAATACAGACGGTGTTAAGACGAAGTTCTTCTAGCTTTTGTATGTTACACACAAACAAGAAAGATTTTATACTTTAAATTGAGTTAAACATTAAAAATGTTTACAAAGGGAACAAGACTATAATAAAAAAAGTATAATAATACTAAGACAAGAATACCGTGGCGCCATGAAATTTATGTACCTACAAAGAAACTATGAAATTTTATATAAGTGGGTCGTATAACATGCTTTTACGACGTGTTAACTAGTAAATATAAGTTTATTGGTAATTAATAGTTTCTTACAGCGGTAGGCTGGTGAAAAGTTGTTAATCATATTAATTGCAAAAGCATGATGCATGGTGCTATAAAACAAAGTGTTTACAGCTCAAACTTATAAAATTGAATCTGCTAATATTTATTAGTACTTTGCTATTATGTATTTTCTATTATCCAAATAGAAAAGGGACCCAGGATACCAGTGGACATTTGAATATTTTTGAAAAGTAAGCTGTGATTGGACAAACATACTTCAAACTACATTATTGCCATCTGATGGACAAATAGCCGTAGCCCACATGACTATATTAAAAGCCTTATTTGTATTTTATGTACACATTTATATTATTTTAATATGGACATTAAAGTATATTTGATAGAACCGTAAAAAGAACTACGTACCGTAACTTACTGGAGATTCCCGATATCTTCCTCAAACAATCTTTTCCCGCCTTTTAAAAGCTTTTCAGAATCATTACCGAACTTTTTCGTGTATTCCTCTAATCTGATGAGCCACTGTGCCCAGTGCTCCCTTAGTTTATCCGAAGAGAGGTGGAATACATCAGCTTTAGAGCCGTCTGTGTATGCTATGACCAATAATGCGTCTCGTACGTTCAAGTGTTTGTAGTTAAGGTCGTGGCACACTGCGCCATAGTAAGCAGCGAGTTGGACAGGGTTGTCGTAAGTATTCGCTATCGATTTGCGAGGTTTGTCCGATTTCTTCCATTCGATTAGAGTTGGTTTCTCACTGGAATTAATAAAAAGATAAACAGTTATTCATTTTGATTAAACTCAAGATTGATTATAATCGCTAACACTGCTAAAATAGTAAACGTGTTCAAATGAATTTGGATCAAAACTGGCTCTGTGATAGGTACGTTTGGAATACACACATGCTACTATTCATCTGGGTAACAAGAGTGGTCTCTGGAAAAACCTATAAAATATTACTCTTTTACTCGTGAATAGATAATCTACCTATTTCACATACGTTGTGCAATATGTTACAATATTTTTTACAAGTCATTGTATGTGTGTTAATTTTATTTTACTAAAATTATTAGATACTTTAGATTTGATTGAGATAAACAGTACTCAAATTAAAATAGGGAGGTACATTATTATTACCTGTTACGTATGTGCAGTCGCAGACAGTATGTATTAAATAGATTTATTTTTATGAGGTGAAATAAAATTGAAGAATATTGCAATTAAAGTGCGATGCATGTATAATATGTATGCCAAATTGGGCTGTCATTTGTGTTCAGGCGATTTATATTCTAATCCTACAACTAATATTGCTTCTGACTATTTACTAAGCCACACTCCACATTGGATTTATAAACAATATTAATCTAGAAGTCTCACCATCAAGACCATACAAAGTTCAAGCACATTACAAATTAAGAAGAAAAAATATGAAACTCTCAAAAATCATTTACATAATACACAATCATGTGATTTTTAAACACATGTGTCAGTTTTAACAAATATCCCACATTTGACAGTCATGATGAATCACATTATTAATGAAAGAAAACATCTGTTAAAAAACGTTTTACAATATTCTTGCAGCCCACTCATTCTTATTCTGAGGGAAACATCAAAAACACGAGGAAGAAAAACAATCAAATTGCGCCGTAGAACTAATATTTTCTAACAACGCGACGTCATACGGTCAAACAGTAAATATTTTTGTTTAAAACTATCTACGTGTCTTCTTTTACCGAATAGCTATAGTAGAGAAGTATAGATATGTGAATCATACTATTACACAAATTACCTTTTTTTGTTATTAATGTTATTGCTTCACCATGTATAAAGTAACGTTCTCCTTGTTTAATCTTTTGTCATATAAAATAAGTATTTTAAGCTACCGATAAATTTAAAAATAATTTCATTAAAGTAGTGTTACATACTATCACTTTTTAAATATTTTGACAAGGTTTATCAATTAGTAACCCTCAGCTAACTCATTACCCGCAATCTTCATTTTCAGTGTGTATAAAGACTGTTTTACCCATTTTTAAGTCGGTAAATGAAGATCTTTTTAGTCGAATCAGTCGTTAATAAAATGAATTCGAAATGTACAATTCAGTAACAAAGTCCTAAACTTACTGCCAGTTTCAATTGTGGTGATACAATTTTGAGTAAGAAAACTACAGATAGATTATTGTAACTGGCCAGTTATGAAAAAAAGGTTTACTGGGGGACTTGTCTGCACTCTTTGATATCGTCCCTTTTATTTTTATCAATATATACATTATAGTTACATCAATTATCCGAGAAGTTTGGCACGTGTCCGTCTGCCCACAAGATTATATTAAGCGCCGATAACCTTGAATTTTCCCTTGACATTAGCAATCTGTTATTCCAAATCGTTGATGTCAGTGACTCCTTTATCTTTGAGGCATTTCGTGATAATGATAAACGTTGATAATACTAAATGACGTCGTACGTAACATTTCTTTTGCTTTTTTAATGTCAATTTTCGTTGTTTGTTTATAGTGTGAGGCTTCCTGAGGGTATGGACAGTTCAGTAGGCAAACTATTGAATTGACGAGCGTACGGTGCGCGCCGCATAGTGACGATGTCCATACGGGGTGCTCAGGATACGAGATGCTCGGATTAGAAAGATCAGGGTGGTTTTTATACAACACCTTAACTAAATAATGGATTAAATATTGTACTCAGCTTTCAGAATGTTAGAGCCCGTTTAGGAAACTATTGCAGATTAATGCTTCGGATTACCGTACCAAGGTGCACTGCTGCACGTTTTTAATTTTTTTGTTTTACAAAAGTGCCTGTTACTAAAGATGAAGAGTGAAATTATTTGAGAAATATCAAAACACAAACAACTCAATAAACTTGAATACTGACCTATTCAATCATCTCAACCGTTATTGTTTCTACCATTGTGCGGACCAACCATAATAATAATCGGTAATAAACAAATAAAAAAAGATATAATTTCGATTTCATACGTTGTAACGAACAAATCATATTTTATGATAAGTACGCGTGTTACAATGACCTCAAATCAACAGTACACTCTTATGAGAGTCCAATCACATTAGCCTTATATGTAATTATTTTCACTTTCTCTGCTTCTGTGACGCAGTGATCGGCCTTGCGGCGGCCTAACCAGAGGTCTTCTTAAACTCTATTGAATGATTTGCTAACAAGCCATTCGTAATTCGCAACACACCCACACGATTTTGTGCAACGTGTCTGGGTCTTAAGATTAATGTGTAGGTAAATAGATTTGCTAATCAGATAGCTAGCTGGTTTAGTAAGATAGGAATTCCATACAAATCTGATAGTAGTTTACCCAATCTAGTTGCTTGTCATAATGGAACTAAAACTGGTTCAAGAGTTGGTCTACAGTAATAATGTAAATAATGTATGCTATTTATCTTAGAAAAGGGTAAATACTACATATGAAAAGTATAACTATATCCACACTAGCTTCCACCCGCGTCATATGTTGATAAAAAGCCTATGTCCTATTCCAGAGTGTATCCTATGCCTGTGTCAAATTTCATCCAGATCCGTCCAGTCGTTTTGGCGTGCTTGAGTAACAAACATCCAAACATCCTAACTTGCGCATTTATAATATGTATTAGTAAGATAAAATACCCCACATAAAAGTTACCCCTTATTTTAGAACAATCTTTTCTAAGCTGTAAGTTGCAATTACCAACAGAAGATTGGCTACCCTAACACCTATATTAAAGACAAATTTAATAAAAATACAAAACAAAGTATTTACTCACTCATAATCAGCAATTGCATCAAAAATACCCCTGTATTTCAATACAGGGTGTATGACATTTGATTCTATTGCTTTTGGTGATGAAATGTGTTTCAAAACATCAGCTACTGACACCCATACACCTTCGACCTCTTTTTCTATGCGAAGCTGAGTTTGTGGCTGCGTGAAGTAGTTCTTCAAGGTGCTGTGGAATTTGGTACCAACAGCCATTTGCGCTGGGGAAACAAAAAGAGAAGTATGAATGTTAAAGTACTCTCATGTATAGATCTGGTTTCTATCTGGTCTAGAACATTTTCTATAACAGATTTTTAAATAGCAATAGTAGGATATTGATGTTTTTTATAAATTTTAATTTACTTAAACCTATTTGTTGCTAGTATTTATTACTAACCAAAATTAAACAAAGGCAAATTTATTTAGGATCTATTTTATAGATTTGAATATAGAACATCATTTATATGTATGAACAAGATGCGAATAACAAGTTTACTGGGAACTTGTGTGAAGGTGGTCAAACAGGCGCTTACTTAAACAAACATCAACTGGTACATGTTTGCTATATATACATGTATATTGTACAACCAACATGCGTCGCCGCTTCAGGCGCCATCCAAATATACTTCATGAAGCTTCACATACTTTATAATTACAAGTCACATGTCTTGGCAGTGACACTAGGCAGTTTGATTTAAATAGCAAAAATATTTTTCTCAATAGCTTATAGAGATGATAATTGACCAGTTTTGCGTATACTTAAACAGAAAAAAATGATGCACTGTCTCTCATTGATTCAAGAACATCAGTAGTATCATGAGACATATTATTAAGACATCCACTACTTACTGAACTTAAACCTGCACTGTACTCATGTAACTGAGTCAAGAATAAACATAATAAGTCGTAAAGAAATATCAATTCTTGGAAAGCCATGCTTCAAAACAAACTGGCCTACAAGACAAGAGGGATACCACAGCCTAATAAAAAATCATGTTACTCAGCTTGTGTTGAGTCTCGAAGTGTGAGGTTACTAGAGGCAATCCTTTTTTTCCTGCCTATCTTTAATCTACTAATCCCAAAAGGTCAGTAACACACTTGTAACTTTTTGTGTGGTGGTGTCCTGTCTTCATATTTGCTACATTATCCCATCATAAAAACAAATTAGTCAGAAAATAAAACGAATTTATTGGAATACATTAATTTTATTTCAGCAGGCAACAGCATTTTGCAATGTACCTATGGTTTATATTTAAACAACTGCATATCAGACTATATCAGGGGACATGTTTTTATTTTGTAGGTATTGTATGGTCGACAGACTTGATGGTTTGATTCATTCTATCGATTTTGAATTTTGTATTGTTATTATTTATTAGACATCACACCTTAAAACAGGGTGAATAGATGTTGGCGAATTTTTCTTCTGTGTCTATTCACTCCTCGAATTCTATTCACCCCGTTGCACCTTTACTTTGAGTAATAGTGTCTACATTTTGGTTTCAATTACCTATCATTAGCTATTAGAAGAAATATTGGGGCAATTTGATGTATCAGAAATTGGATATTTTATGGATTTATCAAATTCAATCAGCTCAACTGATCAGGACTTGATTTAGACCATAACAAAGTTAGTAAGAATACCCTTAACCATGAAGAGAACAAAAACAGAAATCTCTGAACACTAGGTCCTTTCACTATGCTGAAGTATTTTCAGCAATATTTCATTTACAGTTTAAATTAAATTTGCAATTGTTACTTTTATGTTATTTCGTTTATACTGTGCGGCATGTTTTGAGCATACAGTACACTTTTAGTTTAGCAAAACAAAAATCTAAGGATATGACATTGTGATAAAGTTGGGTGATTTAAAAAAGTTTTACATCATTTTATATAAGTAGGTACTATTTTATATTTTTCATAGAAACAGGATCAGGTTACATGACAAAATGATTAAAAGTCAGGGTAAAACCATCAAATGTCTTCTGTTGCCCAGGGTAAGGCTAGAGAGAGTGTCAGATTCTTACTTCACCTGTTTGGAGGCTTAATGGAAAACAAGCCATTTAACCTTATTTGGATAAAATCATATGAATTTAACAAAATACAGACAATATAAGTTACAACCTAACTAATGAAGTCTACCAAAGCAAAACGATAAAAGTTAACAGAATGTACAGAAAACAAAAAGGGGAAATTTCTTAAATTAACAGAAAAATAAGTAACTCACCTGCATAGAATTTATTAAACTCCTCCAATCCCATCTCAGCAATCCGTTCCTGTTTCCATTTCTCTAATGCAGACCTAGACTCATCTGTCATAGTCTTATTCAAGATCAGGGTCACTGAAGGATACTGCTGAGCATAGTCATTCTTGTGTGGTTTTATTTGAAGGATTTTGTCTTCGCTTGCATAGCCAGGCTGGGCTGGGGAGCTACGGGCTGCATTACATGATGCAGAGGTAGCTACTCCTCTCACAGTATTATTCAAGACTACACCAACAAAATTCGCACAGTGCCTAGTATTCTGCCACATTTTCGTTTTCAACACATTCACTGCCAGCACGGGGTTATACTTCACATAACCAGTCAATATCTGACTCTGTCCACCATTTCTCTCTGTACTTTCTAAGAATTTCAATTTATTTTCGTTAGAAGCAGTCGAGTCGTTGTTTTGATGTGATGTCCTATTTTTAGCTGTAACACACAGATAAAAGCGGCGTTATGCGTGCGCGTGTGTATCTCGCGGCGCCAAAACTGAAATGTCATATGATGTTAATTGGCAAGATTCGCTACGCGGACACTATTATGATACGTAGTATGTACGCATAAATTGAGATCGAAAGTCAACATGAAGCGTAAACAACAATTATTAATTATCGACCCGAAGCAACGAGATAATGCGGTTCCCATTACCAATAGCGCAATAATGGCTTCCTCGTGCTGGCTCTCAGATACCTTTTAGAAAGTAGATAATCTAGTCATTCGCAAGGTTGCAGAAACCTTACAAACAAAATAACAAATCTCCACTCACCCGCTTTCCGTGCTCGCTGTTTTTTCTGTTTGCTCGATTCTAATAATGGTCCGAACAATTCCTTATTTTCTTTATTAAATAGTTTCAATTTTTCAGCAGGATTCAAGAACGAAGCAGGACGAACCACTTTATTCCTGATAAATTCTCTACTTTTCCTCTCAAATGAGATTCTTTGGCCGATTGTGCACACTGGTCGGAACATCGTGAACAGTTTAAGTGTACTTTTGGTTTATAAATATTAATAATTTCAATATTACCTACAGAGTCTAAGGTTCAATATAGTTATAATATTTTCTTAAAAATTTGTTATTGAATTTAATCAAACATTGACAAAATATGATGAAATAATATTTTATTCTTTCTTTTCCTTTTCTCAATGAAAATTAAAAAAGCATTACGTCAAAACCGAATGGCATTTAGTTTTAACCAATGACAGCGAATTCGAAAATCTTGCCATTATGAAAAAAGTAGGTTTCCTATGTAATTGTTTTTTGAAAATTATTATTAATTAAGTTGGTTACATTAATTTATGTTATTTTTAGAAAAAATCTTTCAGACTAGATTTATTGACGATTTTGCTATGAAGTTGGTTGTTCAACAATATAATAGATGTCGCTGTTAAATAAAGTTTAGAATACAACTTCTAGATGGCGTTAATAACACTTACGCTACGTGACAAAATTAAAAGTTACCGAAGGCCGAAGAATTTGATGACAAATAGAATGTATTAAATTTGGTAGGATAATACTAAAGTGTCAATGAAACAACTGCTATGCGGATAAATTGAGATGGGACTTTTCTTGGACTACTCAGAAGGGAAACGAGGACTTTGGTTTGTGGAGGTATTACATCCATTAATTTGGCGCGAAAATGGATAACGCGAGATTGTTTGTAGCAGCATTTGAAAAACGCCGGCTAGACGCAGCTTGTGTGTGGCCGTGTCTTCTCTCGTAACATCGAAAGTTGAATTTATTGAACAGGTGGTCTGGACTATCGGGTGTTCGAAAATATTACGAACGTATTATTTTTGTTCTTAATTTAATTTTAAATATGAAACACAAACTATAATTCTGCAAAAAGTGGATTGATGTGAGAAAAAAGAAGTGTAATATCCCGAGGGATTTTGCTTGGCTGTTGTAAGTATACCTTTAAATATTTCTATAATTCAATTCATTTATATATTTTATAATAGCAAGTTTAATATATTTAAAATTTAAGTATAGCAAGGCTTTTAATATATAAATTAGGTATCATTACAAAAACTAAAATAAAAAACAAAATTAAATGTTTTGTTGTTGGAACATTGTGTACACTTTATAGATAATTATTTAAAATATGAAAAGATGTGTCTCCACACGCTTAGTATTATTAGTTTTAATTTTGTTTTGAATTAATAAAAAAAATCAGTTCCAAGAATTCAAAACAAAATTAAAACTAATAATAATGCCTAGGACTTAATATTGAAAAACTGTAAAGAGTGCTTATGTAAGCGTATCTATTATGTACCTAATAAAATATTTTTTTGTTGATGTATTGACTAATAATTTTTAGTAGGTACTTATTTAAATATAAGAACATTTAGTTCGTAATTTTAATAGGTCATCATGAAATCAAAGTAGCTTCCGATAAAAATAAAATCTGGTAATGATAATTAATAATATTAAGTAAATATTTAAATAATTTAAAGAAATGCCATCATTTAAGGATTTAGTCGTTTAGATTCTATATCGAACTTATAACCCATCTACTTATTATTAATTCGGTGAAAACCCTATCAAGAGGCAATAAAAGTCTGGATGTGGTACCCAAACTTTAGAGAGAAAACGCCCAGAGTGGGGGGCATAAAAAATTAAAAAGGCTTTTTTATATCCCCTGACGCCAGACAACGTCTATATATTATATCTAGGCAATAAAATGTACCTAGGTAGGTAGGGAGGCATCTATGTTGGAATTTACGAAACTCTAGGAAGAAGATGAATAATATGAAATTCCGACGCGTAGCTTTGAGGCCTAACTTTTTACGTTCAAAAGCGTAGCTGCCATCCAGGTATCCATTTACATTTCATAAGATTTTCGTAGCATCACGTAATAAAACAGCGTTGGAATGTAGATAATGTTCTTACTGTAAAAATAAAATAGATTTTGTGACCTGCAAGATTTGCGATTTGCTAAATTTTGAATTCCGAATGAGTTGGTAGGTACCTAAAGGAATGACGGTTAATAAAAACGATTATTCCACCTCTCACACTGGAACTTTTTCAATTCTCGGAGCATTTTTAGAATATCTTTTAGAATATTAAAAAAAATTTAGGCAGTTTACAAGCACTTGTCTTGTTGAAAGAGATCCCCTGATTTAGTAAACAGTTTGTTCATTCATTAAACTTGTGTAAAGAGTCGCTGTCAGACCAACGATAAGATGGTGAAAGAAATTAATTTAAAAACGAGACCATTCAGTGCATCGCGGGAGTAGAATTTTAATTAAAAAATGTCTGCCACGATGCGAGAGGAGATTTATTTTAACAATTTTTCCCGCCACACTTAATCTAATTTCAAGTTGAATTTATTTGTAGTAGTTGGAGGTTTTCATTTCTCTTTTAACCAGTTTGTGCGGTCGCTCTATTTCGGGTGTTTGCGGTGTTGTACCAATAAATTGACTCAAGCGAATTTCTACCATGGCGTGACTAGAGAATTCAGACAGAGGTTTATTTACAAATAGACCCAGTTTCGACTAGATGAGATTAAGTAAAAGAATGATAGTTCAATAGACAGGTGGGAAAAACATGCTTCGGCCCGAATGCCTTGTATTTTGCCGTATGAGCTAGTTAGCCGGAGGCTGTGTATCTCCCCCGATCCCCAAATCCCCAATCCTCAAATTCCTAACATGGTTTATGGGTACAAACCATCAACGCACCTGTAACGCCTTTGGTGATTTGGTGGTCTCATACAATGAGCGGCGTGATTGCTTACCATCAGGTTACGTCAGGTGGATTGCCAACCAGGTTGGTTGAGGGCCGCTGTGCTACAGGCATCTTCTTTACAGAATTATGAAGTAAGAGATTCTTGTGCCTTATTAACGTTTACTTGCTCTAAAAAGTTGCTGATAGAAATACGAAAATATGGTGACCCTATCATTTTAAAATTTTGGTAATAAAAACGTATCACCCAATAGTTATCGGATCCCCATAATTGATCTTATTATCGAAGGTTTATAGGTGAGGCTTTTCCATAACCTTATAAAAGATTAAGTTATACTCTTATTTCATTACATGGCAGTGTATCTAACTGGTACTAAAGCTAAGATCATAAAACTGTTGGACGTAAAACTATAGGTCTTTTCGACACGATATAGTGTCAAGCTACTTTATTACAATTTCTTGTGTCCATTACAATTTATGATGTCTAGTTTAGTAAATCGCTGTTTGAAATACACGATTATCGAAAATTTTAATTCATGGATAGCTCGAAAACTAATTTGGAAAAGAAATATAGGATTTTTCGATTTTTGTGACATAATAATTATTAGGTACTTTCATAACATAATCATTCTTTTCGACCCCTATTCATGTCCTTTGGGAAATAATAGAAGTGAAAAATAATAAGGATGAATTTTTCCCTAAAGCTTCGAAAATTTTGGACAAAAACCAGAAATGGTCGCTACGTGAACTTGCATATTAATGAGATATCGATGGCGTTGCCAAACATTAGTGCTTGTTGGTGTAATGGGGACAAACGCGAATACGAATTAGGTAGGAATAGCTATTGTTCAACGATTTATTAAGGGAGAAAATTTACAATTCTTATTAAGACACTGCCAATGATTTTACATGTTCAAAGAAGATTAAAATAATTGAAATCGTTGTACTTAGATGAAGTAGAACTAAGTAGTAGTGGAATATTACATTGGAGTATTACAAGGGATAAGAGATTGGCGCAGTCGACCTTTTGTTGCTACCAATTTAACATGAGTGATGTAAATCGGTTAACTATATTTATAGAAAACTACAAACTAGCATTAAAAATTGTTTATACGGATCAAAATAATAGACGCATTTAATTAGTCACTGCTCAAAACTAAAGCAAATAAAATGTTAGAACGTGGAAAAACTAGAACATTTTCGCATTTTCAGGAAAGCAAAAAGTTTTTAGACCCGCGAACAAATAAAACATGTAACGACGGGTAAAATTTTTTCGGAGAAACTTTTTGGATTTATAACAGTTCTGAATAACACTTTAGGACAGTTATGAATGTGTGCTCGATGTATAGAAAAGTTCCAAAAACCTGAAACAACCACGAAAAGTGTCGGTATTAAATCCCGTCAATTCGACACCCAAAATATGTTCGTGCTCTACATTCGGAAAATGATTTGGCTTTAAATTAATTGGATTTAGTGATTTCGCAAATGACTACTCCATTCATATGCCATTTCCAGTAATGAATGGGAAGATGAAATAAGTAATATAGGTTTATTACCTACTTTTCAAAAACAATGGCCAGTTGTCAGGCAAGGAAGTAATTAGGTTAAGCTTTCGCTGTCTTCCTCGATAGCCTCTGATAGACAAGTAATTACCTCCAACAAAATATCCGTTTTATTTCGAACTAAATCTTTCCGTTATTGGTTAAGCCTAATTCTGAGAAAACGTTCTGTTAATGGGATTGTATTAAGTTTTTTCTTCGAATTGATACGAATTATAATTTCAAAGGAAATTGCTTTTAAAAAGATAAAAGCTTAAGATTTTGTTGTAGTGTATTTGCAATTTGTTTGTATTGAGGTTAGGTGTAATACGATAACGCCATATTTAATGGTAGCATGTCTCCGCACCGCTGTTATACAAACAAACGATCTCAGAAAGACATTGGCATAATCCTCTCAGTTGATTGGATTGTTGACCGCAGCATAATGTTATTAGTGTAGGTAGTGTAGGCAGATGGCGTTGCCCATGTTGATATTATCTCAGCTGTCTCCTAGGACCGCTAGCAATATTAGTTCGAGCTAATCCTCCACTAAAACTAGCCACTGGCGCTGCATGCTAAATGTGAGCGACTCGAATGTAAACACAATTGGTTAATAAATTTTACAATATTGTGTACTATCGGGTGCAACGTGCAGCTGAATCAAAACATACCTTTTGTTCAAACAAAGAAGGCATTTTCAAACGCTGCATGTGCAATCAGGCTTACGAAAATAAAAACATCAAAACGATTGTTTGTAGAGCTCGCAGTATTCAATACTGTACTGTTGATTGTACAG